CATTTTACGTATATATTTAGTGATTGATATGATCCTGCTTTTATTTCTAATTATGTCAGTTTTGGTCCTCCGTACTGCAGAAGCCTGATAATCATTCATTCATATCAGGTGTGTTGGAGCAGAGAAACAAGTAAAACATGCAGGGCTGTGGACCTCCAGGACCAGGACTTCTGGTACCTGCTCTAAACCCGCCATAAAACCGTTTCATTTGGTAATCACGGTTAACCACTTACATCCTGGCTCTGCAGCTTCACCACAAAATCAGGGGTTGGGGTTCCCGTAATCTTCATTATTTCTCGTAGCTGGTCCAGATCTGAGGAGATCCTGTTAAGAATTGTGGAATTTTTTAGTTACAAACCAGCCGTCGGCCCTTTTCAGGTCCTCTCAGACCTGGTCCTCTCAGACCTGGTCCTCTCAGGTCAAGGATACGGTCGTTCCCTTTAAACAGCGGTTTCCCCAGCAGCATCTCTGCCATGATGCATCCCGCCGACCAGATATCCACTGAAACACAAAGCTCATTGTTTTTGTTTTTGTCGTCTCGGGTTGTAAATCTGCTCTTAGTGCTGTGTTCTGGTCCTCAGAGGGCCACTTCTACCGGTCTGCGTGTAGTGCATCCAGTTGAGGATGACCTCAGGGGCTCTGTACCAGCGGGTCACTACGTAGCCCGTCATCTCAGCGTCGGCCTGCCTGGCCAAGCCGAAATCCAGAATCTGAAGCCGAAGAAGAGGCAGGAACTTGGCGCAGATTTTTGACAAATACGATGAAGATAAATCCGTAAAATACTGAGTTACCTTCAGCTCACAGTCTGGGTTGATGGCTAAATTTCCAGGTTTAAGATCCTGTTASAAAATAAGAATGAGTTATTTCCTACCACAGTTTGAGACAAATATGGGATCAATCTTGTGCCAGCAGGAAGTGAATCTGAATTGCTCAGATTGAATCAGAATGTGCAGAATTTGAAATGGAATGCATTGTTTTGAAAATAAATGTCACTAATTTGAAACTGAATTTAAAGTTTTGTATTTGAATTAATTTGCTTTGAAACTGTATTTTTGGTTTATTAAAAATTCAGTTTGACTACTTTCACTTTCAGTTCCATAATTCTTGTCAAATTTACATCCTGGTCCTTGAGAAAGCCAGGCAGAGTAATCAAACACAGATCCACTGATTTATGTTTCACTTTGGTGAAGTTTCCCTTCTGTATATACCGTATTTTTCGGACTATAAGCCGCGACTTTTTTCCT